TAGAAGCTTGTTCACGCTCGGAGGTAGCTGTAGGCTTGACCTGGTTCACTGTCCGCTAGATTGAAACGATTGGTACGAAACCGCCACCCATTCTGACGATGCATGGCGCTTGTACGATGACACTCATGGCGTGACTCTGCTCTTCTGAGGCCGTTAGTCCGATGGACATACGAATCGCGATCACCGAAGGAGTTCTCTCCTGCGCCGAGAAAACTTGGATCTAGCCTTGCGAGAGATAAAGTAAGTAAGGGAAAGTCAGGGTCAGCCGGAGATTCTCATCAGAAGCTGGTTTACAGTCACTGTGGCCTCCGTTCTGGGGATATCCAGAGGTGGTCCAACAACTCAGCGATAATTTGTGTCGGGGAGGCTGACCTTGACGGTCGTGGACGTCAACCTCACCAATTTCCATATTCTGCTTTCCCAACCACGATGACGCCTAGATAAGGCGTCTTCTCGCTAGTGTTCTCGACGGCCTCACCATATCACTCCGGCTGACGCCGACGATCAGAACGAAGTCGTCGAGCGGCATCTCCCATGGGCAAGGGCCACCTTCCTCGGATGCCGGGGATGGAATATCACCGTAGAAAATAATGCCCATGAGATGACTCGTACGTGAAGACCCTTTACTCACCATCAACCATACAACAAACTCCAGGACCGCACGAAAGGAGCTGCACCAGCGGTTCACTGCATAGTAAAGAATGTGAACAAAGATGACCGTAGTGGGTCCACTACGTCCAACTTCGCGCTGATGTATCCCACATCTAACAGCAAACTATTTCCTACGGAGCTCACCGAGCTTGCTCTTGCGTCTCCGACACTACTGGGGACCACAGGAAATCAATTGACGGCAAACAGTCATGGTACAGGAGGCGAGTTGGTCACCGTAACAACGCTGAGTGGATTGCTTTGGCTGTTAATGCTAGAATATATGGAGTAGGTGGATCACATCTTTCAGAGCTCTGAGGCGATCATGAAAATGATGGGTAGACTGAGTACGCATATGAAATTTGGATGATGTATACGACAATGGAAAGTACAGGTAATGCCCTCGACTGAACAGAACCAGGAAAATGAGAATATGATGGAGTCATAGCGCATATCTTTTTGTGGTGTTTTTATTCACATCCGCCACACCCCAGAATATTCTATCGCACCTAAAATGAAGGGACCGGTTCTCGACGACTACCTAGAATGGGAGAGCTTGAGACACTGCAGGAGAACCCCTTCCGGCATCAAAATCCCAACATGACGGCACTATGCAGCAGGCAATGACATTGATCAATGCGTGCCGTGCGCCTGACTAGAGACCAAAACCACCGAGGCGAGGGCGATCACAATTTGTCGCAAGAACACAGCCTGAGACCTGATCCTAGGTGGATGATTCATCATGATCTACAATTGCGAGCGGCCACTAGCAAAGGCTTTCCCAGAAAGGTTCCAGAATCGTATACTCATTCATGTGTATACTATGAAGGATCATGATATGTCTAGGTAAGTGTTGTTGTCTCCGTTACAAAGGTATGTGACACTTACCTCATATTTCCAGTGGGACGTTGAAGCTCTAGTAGCCGCAGGGCCAAACTAATACTATCCCTCTGACGATACAAGGTACTAGAGTCCAGTGGTACCGGTGAACCCAAGGCAGAGTTAAGAGACGCAAGCACTGACTCACGTGCTCATGCCTGTGTCCGCCGTCACCTAGCAAGAGGTCAACCAGGATTACGGACATATAAGTTTTGTGGCAGGTCATGATACACAGGGAGATATGATGAGAGCGAGGCATGTGGAGATCTACGACTGTATGCATGATCCGGAAGATCATTGGGAGAGCATGCAGCAGACGATGGCACCATGTGTCTCGTTTTGTAGGCCAAAAAAACCATTCGTATGGCGCGTGATGAGTATTCACACAAACTGAAAGAGCCAATCTTGTAGTCCTTGTAGGCAGGAGTTCTTTGCCAAGATAAAAGGGGAGGTATATGTCCAGTGAGCGAGTGAGTATATTCTAAAGGGGGCTTGCCAAAGATTCATGAAATAACATTAGACCTGCATACTTCCCCGCTGTCACAGGCTTGTGAGGAAGAATGCCCTTGCTCAACAGTTGGATAGCCAGGCGGATCGAGTAAGATCGATGACGGATGCGAGCAGAACAAACCTACAAACCAGAGATGCCCCGATTCGGTAAGCCACTTTGAACTTTGAACTTCGGCACATGCCGTCCTTTCTTCCCACCCCGCTCAGTCTGATCGGGACTGTGAAGGGATCAGCCATATTCAGCCAAGACACGTCGACGAAGATAAAAACAGTGGACGGTCGTGGAAGGTATATATGGATGGATGTCCTGTTATTTCCCAGCAGTACTCGCATTGAAAACTATTCTGGAACGTGAATGATACTGAACGTAGTTCGAGTGCTGGGCAAGTCGGAGATACCATCGCAATACATAGCGGTCGGTGTTAGGTCGAACCCATGCATGACCCGTGTATCCTACGCATTGGACACTAGTTTGTTCTGGGTAGTGTGCATACTACAGCTAGGCTGAGCATTGAGGGATGCCATCAATAGCGTAACTTCTGGGGAAGGCCCGCGCGAATCTCACTCGCAATAGTACATGAGAATATTCGTCATCATATCGGGATTAAGCTGATGAAAGACAGAAGGTGGTGGGAGCACCGGTCCTCTTTTAATCAAGGCCAACGGACCGAGCGAGGAACTTCCGTACGCGTGGGTGAATAGTAGCTTCTTCACGTCATTGAAGTAAGCCGATGTAGTGCCCATAACCAAGATAGTCCTTTGAACTGGAAATCGACCTTACTGGGCGTCCAGTAACATCACGAGTCAGGTAAACCTCTACTTTCCCTCTTGGTTTGTCCGCCATCTCGTCACGGCCAGCGCAGCAGCCGTGTCATTGCCGTTCAACTTTCATTCTCTGTAGTCAATTTCCTTTCGAAGAAAGGGAGTTTGAACGTATAATCATATCATTCATCGAGGTGGAGGTGATGTGAATGTTAGTGGACGAGATGATACTACCGCATGACCGGTTACTAAACTAACACGAGTGGACCCATATATATCCACCACCCACAAAAAACACAGCAGATTGTCCTTGCGCAGAGCACGATCGGCGTTTTCGGTGTTCCGAACATGTGAGTGACAGAGTCATCTGCGCCAAACGAAAGCATGAGGTCATAGCCGAACAGTAGATTTCTGGAGGAGTCTATTCTCAGTGAACACCGCAGCGTGAACCGAGAGGGCTCCCAGTTCAGCGCAGAACTCGGTCATGAAATCTTTGGCACATCCACATCCCGAGCGGCTCCAGATCTCTCGAAGACAGGAGAAGTTAGTCTACAGGATAGAATCATCGGAGAACCTCCCTCTCCGGTTGCTCTGAGGGCTTGACGGCCTCAGATACCGACCTCCCCAAATGTATTCCAGCCTCCACCGTTGAGGTAGGAGAAACGTTTTTGTTGCCACAGAGGAATGGTATCTATGTGCAGAACAGACTGTGGAAGGCTTCACGGCAAAGAGAGACCATCGGCTCGAATTGGAAATAGTTGAAACCATTGACGGACACGATGAGTCTAATGATATCGTGAGAAATAGGACATACTGTCCGTAGTCCTCGCGATTGTGTTAGCGGTGAAGTTGTGATCGAATCTTGAGTACGTGGACTCGGGCTCTCCCACCAATGAATGGACCGATGAGACGAGAATGAGAGTCGCTGTAAGGAACATCCACGTCCATTACGGAGATAATCATAAGCTCTGGACATCTTGCGCTTGACAGGAGAAGAATGTAACGACTTCAATCGTAGCAAAGTAACCGGGCGGAAGTGTCGGCTTGAATGGCAGTATAAATGATGCCGGTAAATCAACGCACCATGGAACGCGCGACCAAGACTACAACCTCTGAAACATACATGGGATATATCTGTGTGTGATGTTCCGCTCGATGATATTTTCTCCCTTTTTAGCCTCCGTGAGCCCACGGTATTTGGCCATCCTCCATAACAAGGACAAAATGAAGCGTCTTCACCCTGACGAAGATCAGCGCTCAGCTATGATCCGCCTCGGTGCTCAGACCACTCCCGACGAACGCGGAACAACCGCAGCACGGAAATCATCCACCCTAGTAAGATCATCATCGCCCCAAGTAAATCATTGACTAGACAAAAGGAGAACTTACCCCACGGGCCAAGAAGAAAATTGTTGCCATTGAGTGACCACGTACGGCGCTGGTCATCCAGGGCCAAAATGCAATCTATTTCGATGTCGACAAAAACGGATCCACGGACGCCGCTGAATTCCGTATGCACCTGATAGTTTCGTAACAACGCCTAAGGATTGGCAAAGAGCAATGAAAGGAGGTGCGGCTTGTGAACATAGTCACTGTATTGAACGTGTGTCAACGAAGTGATGAGTGTTTTCATTAGCCGGCAGATACTTTGTGTCTGATACTCGGATGTTTCTCTCTAACGGGATGCGGCGGATTGACCTTGCCGGATGTAAGAGCCTATAGTCAGCGAAGGTATAGATACAGAAGATATCTAAAGCACGAACCTCCGGAGCAATTCCCGTGGCTTGGGTCGATAGAACCAAATCTTTTCGGCACCACTGTGGCGCGGCGACCACACTACAATCGTTCGTTCCGGGCATAACCAGCATTGATACGTCAATGGCTAGGTCCACCGAAACGGAAATACCTGTTGCGCTCTGGAAGAATCGTATAAGGGGAAGACGGATGATAACCGCCCTAAACTGACTGCGCCCATCCCCTCTTGAACCAGGATTGTCCATGCCGCGAAGAGATGTCGTCGAGGATGTGGCGCTGTAGAAAATACCTTGAATCACCGATATGTCGACTTATATCAACTCCCATAAGCTTTTTTATGATCTCCTTGGGACAGCACCAAAAATACTTGGCCGGTGCCCGAAGCGAACCCGCTTTCATTCCCCTCAAGGAGATATTCTTTGTCCGTCTCATGGATTAGGCATCGCTCAAATGATTTGTAGTGAAGTAACGCCCGTTAAAGCAGAAGGATGCGTACATTTTCCACTAAGCTCATAAGAACATGAGTTACTTATAACTTACGGGAACCAGCAATACTATACCATGGTGAGCCATTACATATCGTCAGCACACATCCACAAAATGGCAGGAATGGACAGACCCTGGCAAAACACTCGCCACACACCCCATCCCTTCCCACGCCCATCCTGTCCCTTGCCCGATCGACTACCGCACAAGCCAAACAAGCCGGGAAAGCAGGATCACGAGCCATTCCATTAGGTGGGAAGCCGCGGTAGATGAGCTCGGAAGCACCTTCCAGCATCGATTCTATTTGCGTGGAGTTATACTACAAGCAGAGCCAGAGGGAGTGTCAGTATCGTATTCTCCGCAAAACAAGTCCAAGCCAGCAAAGTTTCGAAGGGGGAAGGAGCCGACGGACCTGTAGCTGAGCGGTTGTGGTATTCGTAACTCCGGTCGAACCATCTACCGGAGGCGAATTCGGTACCCAGACGATCAGTGGCACAATCGTATCATTACACCCAAAGAATGTCGTGTGCAGGTCAAGGCCTTCCTCCACGAAAGTCTCTGGAGACGGGATGGTGGGGAAGCGATAGTTTGGAACGAGAAGACTCCGGTTGAAGGTGGAAGAAAGCGACAAGCCAGCAGCATAGTTCTCGGACGTGTCAGCTTCCTGGAGATGACAAAGTGGTTACAGAGAGCCCGAGTAAGATGAGTATAATAAAAACACAAACGTTATCGAGACCAATTATAATGTCGAGTGCACGAGCCGGTGTAATCAGGGGTGCATAAGGAGTAATCTCTACAGTAAATTATTATCAGTCAGAAAGTAGATGGGCCACATCGGTCTCGAACACATACCACCATTGATTCCTCCGTCCGTCATTCGTAGAATCGTCTCATTCACATCCAAATAATTGCCGTTACCCATGCCCGTGAACGGATTCGGGACATTCGCAGTGTCCACCTGCAACCCGACCTGCTTCCCGTCCTCGAAGAATGTCTCATTCACCGCTGTAGCCAGCGTGCCCAGAGCTTCAAAGAAAATATCGCTGGTAACATTATCTTGTGGGAAAATATTTGACGAAATGCCGAACGCAAAGGCCGCAGTGTCGAAATCCTGTGCGCAGAGTGACGCGTTGGTAGGGATGCCGGAGGCGAAGCGCGTTCCGAAGAGATGAGTGGGTAGAAACGCGGAGAGCGCAGTGTCGAATGAGCCAAATTCGAAGGGTGTGAGCTCGTATTGCGTATTTGTGAGGGGGATGAGTTCCTCGGCTTCGATGTTGGAGGTGTTTTCGTTAGGTGATTCGGTGAGCATGGTAATTATTGGGAATGGTTGTGAGAAGGATCGAAGGCTTGATCTGTACGGGCTCATCAGAGCAAGTTCGGAAGTAGGAGACGGTAACACTTACATGTTCATGAGACTAGAGAATGTAAGCTCGGTACCATGAGGGAGAGAGGTATCGAAGAAGTTCATGGGTGTAGTGCCGTTCACAAAGTGATAAGCGAGGGAGAACGCCCAGTAGTCTGCGAAGCTAACCGGAAAGCCTGCACCAAACTTGATACTCATAAGATCGATAATTCGTTCGACAACGATCTCGTTTGCCTCTGTAGCGTTCACACCGCCCGGCAAGAACTGAGATGTGGAACTGGTATTGTCTGCGGGCTTGATGTGGTATAATGATGCCCCGTTAGCTGGCTTGTACAACGTTGAAGGGTAAACACAGGCACCTCAAGAATATCAAACAACGCGTTCCATCCTCCCCATTCCCCAATACCAAAAGCAAGCTCTCTGATCGTCGGGAACCCTGCTTGAGACAAACTCGTGACCAGCCAACTACCGCCGCTCAATCCTGCCAGATAATCCGCTGCCTGAAGCAACCCACCAGTACCGACCTCAGCAGATGTCGCGTTTCTACCGTCCAGTGCGTTCAGCTCGCCAGCGCCCGCAATGGTTGCACGATAGCCTCCACCAGAAGCCGCTATTCCAAGACGCGGAAGTGCAGAAACGTTGGTCGATGAGAGAATAGAAGTGACGTAGTGTGGAAGGGTAACGTTGGAAGAAAGCGTGCTTTGAACATTAGAGAGATAGTCGCTGTAGGCAGAGGGAGCGAAAGCGGATCTACGAGTCTCTACGTAGTTCGATTCGTCAGCACTGAGAGCTTGAATGCCAGATAGACCGAGAGCAATCTGATTGTTGGGATTACGCAAGCGGTCTCAAATAAGCCCGGCAAAATGTCCACGCTACATGAATGGCAACCGCAGATAAGGAATGACAGTGGAGCATATGCATACGCACGGATGCGTCATAAGGCACATCACGGCCTGGAACATATGCGGCCATGAATGAATAAGCGACGAACGATGCGATCAGGAAGAGGACGATCCTGGACGACCTTCATTCACGTCTGATGGCAGAAGCTGGAAGCGCGAAGCACGAAGCTTGAAGCTTTGATCAAGCACGAAGCACGAAGCTGGGAGCTTTGATCAAGGTGAGATCCAATAACCTGAATGAATGACCGCGGCGCTTGCGCTTCTTGAAGTGAGGTTTCAGTGCCTTCCAGCGTCACCGCGCGCTCATCGCGACTTGCTTACTTGGGAATTTACGACGCAAGGCGTGTCTTCCTCTGCTCTTCCATGTCGTCCTCCCGCTCCCTCGCCATCTAACGACATACAAGCCGCCGCTCTCTCTCTCTCCTTTCTTTTCTCTATTTCTCTTTCTCGTGTCCTGGCTCAAACGCCGGCTTCTGAGCGCAACATCGACGTTTCAGCGGCTCACTCACCCTCTCTCGCTCGTCTCATTGCGCGACGCGTCTGCTGCTCAAAATGGCCCTTGTTCACCTATCGCTCTTCCCGCGTTCTCCTATCCCCGCATCCTCGCGTACAGACACGGCTCGGCCGCTGCTTAATGGTGTTTAACGGGAACTGAAGTATTGGCTACCCATGCGACGACATGTGGTGCAAGTCACTAGTAAGTTCATCCTCTTCTCGTCATGGTATTTCTTTCTCTTTCTTTCTCCTTCCACTGCCTCGGCGATATTTAGCCTCATAACGTGCCCTTATGAGTGTCATGGGTTTGCTAGTCCCACCTGTGTGCCACACCGCTCCCTGTACCTCTCGCCCCTTGCTCCTCTGCGCGCACCTTGCACACTTCTCTGCACACTTCTCCGCACGCTCTTTGCACGTCATTGTCCCTGCTACAGTCTATTCAGTGTGCTACCTCAGGTTAGACACTGTTGCCCGCTCTCTGCACGCATCGTCCCTGCTGCTGTCCCACAGCGCGCTACCGCAGGTTAGACGTCGCTGCTCGCTTCTCCTGGCACTCCTGGCACTCCGTGAACGAGCGTCCCACTGAGACCTTGTCCCTGGCGCGTCCGGCAAACCCGGCCGTGCCTCCAGGCAAATCGCAAAGGGGTGTCCTCTGTCTGGAGGGACTTGGTCGTATGTGCGCGTTTTCGCCTGGAGGCAAATCGCATCACACCCTCGAGCTCCATCTGCCTGGAGGAACAATGTGTCTCGACTGCGCCCGCTTGGAGGCAAAACACGTCTTGACCTCCGTATGCCTGGAGGCATGACGGGTTTTGACCGTCGTTTGTCTGGAGGCAACCTCCCCTCGGCTTCGTTTTGCTCGGAGGCAAAGTCTTGTCAAGCTCGGTCTGCCTGGAGGTCTGCCCTGCGACGATCGCGATTTGCCTAGAGGCAGATTGGCATAACGTTGCTGGTTCGACTGGAAGTTACCTATTCGACGCCGCACGTTTCGCCTGGAGGCACGGTCTCGAATCCTATGTTAGCGTCCGCGATGTATTTACGTACCATCATAATGAGATTGTGGTAAATACCTTGACTTTCCGAGCTCGCCACCTACCTGGAACCCGTCCACAAGAACAACATGTTGCAGACCTTCGGATATGGCTCGACGGAAAGCAATTGCATTCTGATTCAACAGGACGGAGAGTACAAGAAAAGCGACAGACACGCGAAACAAAACATGGTTGGACGAAGAGCAATATGAAAACATGGGGCGCGGAGCCCTGCAAAACACCAAGAAAAACTGCCAAAGCAAAGACATCCTCAGCGCGACGAATCCATGGGCGAGCGCGACGAAGCCGTGGGCGAGCGCGACGAAGCCACGTACTATAACACCCTCAGAAAACGACTTTGCAGGGAGTGGGAAAACACTTACCGGAGGTATGTGCCAATACCTTCCGTGGGTACTCTCCCAGAGGTCTCCTTTGAACCACACCTCGCCTATGTAATGCAGGCTGCGGTTCGTGTCCGACCGGTGCAGCCCACAACCCTTTCGCCAACGCCTCTGGTCAGCCCTGTACGTATCAATCAATCCACACTCGACTTACTGCTCAACAGTGATCATACGACCTGTCAACCCAGCATTACCCCACTTCTTCTGGGCCCAATCTTGGCAGGCCTTGATACACTGTTGTCTGGCACCCGGCTGGGTTCGCCACATATTAGGGCAAACGATCACCCATACTCGGAAAACCATTGCTGTGGTCGCCTTGGTTTGGGTCAGAGAGAGGACCATATCTTGTCCAGTGCAAACTTACCAAAAATTTGATCGTGTTGCTGAGTGAAGAGGGTGTGTGGCGCCCACGAAAGGTATTTTCAGCTGGAATTGGTGTCTGTGGCTGAAAAAAATAAGGTCAAAATGATAGCAAATGTTATCGAAAATCACTCACAGCGGCTTCAAAACACGGTCTTCAAGACGCGGCTCTCAAGATGCGATCTTCAAGGTGAATCTTCTGGTTCACTTCGCCATTCCCCGCCGCACGGACTTCCTCAAAGTCGACGCCACAAGCTAAAATTGGCGCCACCGCCACGTTAGTCATACCGAAATCGACGCGCATCTACTTACGCGGTTTCCAATCTCGCGTAAACGCCAGAATAATCATCACCGGTTTTTCAAGAGCCTTACCAGCTTGACTCGCGCCCTCGATCCAACGCGTACTTAATCCCACCAATCAACAATAACGAGCCGCTGGCCTACCTTGTTATTCCAGCGCGACATTCCACACCGTCCACCTTGTATTCAGATGCGCTCACCACGGCCGTATGACTCACCCTCCCGAACAAAGGACACTCGCTCGCGCCCCAGTGGTGTCGATCCCGAACTGTTGGCCACGTTGCCAGTCGCTCGCCGCTGTGAACACTTGGTGAACACTCTCGACTATTGCCAGAATACAGTTTTTTTGCTCGCCGATACTGCTGTCAAGCTGGTCACGAATTGCATAATGAAGACCTGGACTATAAGTACATGGTCTCTGATATTTGTATAAAACATCAAGTCTGTCAGTACGAGGCGCCGGGGAATGTTCGGTCAGCACACAGCTCTTGACGAACGAAAGCGATAAACGCACCTATTCGTACCGACTCCCTGTACATTTATATCCCTTCTTCTAAGCCCAGAGGTGAACCATGTTGAGTATGGACTAAAGCGATCTGTACAAGCTCTGCATCTTTAACGAAGTTGACCCACGTGTCTGACACGTCTCCCCTCCAGAATTCAATCTCCGCCCAATTGGGCAACCGCCACCCCAACACCACAACCTCTGCTTCTTACCTGAGGCAATTCATGGCTTCATCTATTCTCTCTCGTTTTGTCTTGTGAGCTCGGATATAAGAGACAGCTAATTCTTCGTCTCGTGTGCCGTGTATCTACACACATGGCGACCTTGAGACCGCTCGGGCCACATCCGCTTACACCACACGAGAATGCCCGAAACCGTGCATTGCCTCCAAGCACTTCCCCGTTCCCATTGAAGGCAGAATTTTGCTTAGTAAAACGCGCCGCGCTCTTATCTCCTCCCCCCATGCCCCGTGCCGCGCTCTTCCAGTCCAACGATGTTTGCCCCCAGTGCGAACGCACTTTTCTTACTGCGCCTACTTACATTATGTATCCGGCGCTTTAATCCAGCTTATGCCGGCCCTTGGTACCAGCACGTACGTTTTTTTTGACTCACTGCTCATCAATCTCCTTACTCACCACCTTACACGTCGTCTCTCTACGGTGACACGTAGTGCCTAGCACATACCTTCAAGAAACACTCTCCTTGCTCTTTCGTTCGTTGGCTGGACCAATGCTCTCGGCTACTCCGCGTTGATTTCGATGTTCAATCCCAAGAGGTGAATCCTGAGACCGACGATCGTGACTATCACCTACTTAGTACTGGGGAGCGCTACCTTCGACAGCAGTCACCTTGCTTGGTGAGAAGATTCTGCAAGCACTTCAGGTCTGCTCCATACCAAAGGTACGCCCTTCATCAGTGATGGGAGTGCGTACGCCGTGCCCGACAGGCCCAGGTGTGACTGGCTTTTTGAAAGCCTTGAGCGTCATCGAAGCCCCCTGCCGCGGAGAAGTTGATTGATCTAAACTTCGATGCAGTAGTCAGATACTACGAAGCCTCGCTACTGGTGACAAGGTATTCATATCGAACAAGACTTGCCATGAGGGTCGATGACATTCAAGTGCGACGTTCCCTGCACATTGAGCTCACTGCTGTTCAGCACTACGCTGCCAGTGGCGCCGGGGACTTTTAGACGCCACACTCACCGGTGCCACATTTATAAGATGTTTGTAGTTGTTTATTTCCGAGACGATTCTGAGCGATTACGGGGTTGTCGATGGACCTTCAAGCAAGGTAACTCCGACCATATCCACGGCCCCTCGTCCTCCGCCGCCACCTCCTCCCGCCTCTTCCGCTACTGTCTCAACCTCTCCGCACTTAATCCGGCGATTCCCTCGCCTCTACCTCGCCTATCAAACGTCCCCAAACGCCTTGCAAAAAAAAAAGAGTTGCGAACGCCCTGGCGCCCAGGATTGCGTGAACGACGGCCGCTGCAAATCGTGCTGTCACAATTTTTTCCTCGCCAAAGAGATGACCCGTAAATCGCGCCGTCACGGGCCCAATGCTGGTACGACGACACCAACATCCGACTTGTCCCCTCAGGTATCGCTACACTCGACGGTCAACCTGAGCGGGTTTACTTATGTGGCTCACATAGAAATGCCGCGGTTTTTAGTACGTTTCCTATTTCCAACCTATTTCTTCCCCTCCCTCATTAGCTTCCGGCTTCACTCGTATTTCCTCGCGGAGCAATGAAGGCTACCCAAGAAACGCGCTCATCACTCAATAATGTGGCGTTACCTTGCTTGCTAGGTCCTTCACACCCCCGTAATTATGCCAAGGATGCCAAAAAGCCAAACATGGTGGCGTAGTCCCACTACAACGAATTGTAGTCCGGGGGTAATACTAGGTGCCACTCCCGGTTTTCTTGCTCCAATATTGCTCTCCCAGGCAATACACACTCTCTTAAAGCGGGCCACTCCCAGGCTGCACTTGTGGTGTGCATTTTGTAGCGCAGCCGGAACCCCCTCAAGCAAGGTCCGGCAACTGGCGGAGACAGTGCTCCCCAGTCAGTCCATGATTTGTGGTAAAGGAAGGACCCGATGTTTACACGATGTTGTCATTCTTTGAGGTTACGCCTGTAGCCGTTTCGCAGCAATACGGTGCGCTTAGGCAGATTCTCCTGTCATGGGATAAGTAACCCTTCCACTCTCTAATAATCTTGTACTGACGGTCGCTGTCATCCTTACGGGGAACCTGTCTGCTTCTTCTGATACCATACCCCGTATTTTGCGATTAATGAGAGCACATCGGCGAGAGTTTGAACCCCGCTGCCACCGCTCCAACAGAATGCACCCCCAATCACCACTGGTTTCCAAAGTAGGCCACTACTGCCAGGCTGGTAGTAAATGCTTCCTCTGTCAATGCCCTCGTGTGCCATGTATTTCGCTAGGTGATCTCACAAGCCGGCGTATCAGCCGTCAGCTATCTTGAGTTTGACAATCCGATCCATCCGACTCATACGGCCATCCGTGGGCTCATTGGTTTTTTTCTCGCTGTACATGCTTCCGCTCTTATCGATATCGATATAAGTATGCGAGCGCAAACGTGTAGGGACCAAGGTACGTAACGCCATCGATAGCGTATCATGCAGGCAGGTATGTATTTTCGTATATAAGCCTTTGATCTGGCCCAGCCGCGTCCTCCTTTGGAACGAGTCCGTCGAGTTTTTCTAATATGGGCATAGAGCTATATCCCGAGCTCTCACAACACCTCTCCCCTGATACATTCCAGCTTCTCCTTGTTCTCCTGCAAAGACTGCGCCCCGTCCTTGACACTGCTCTCGCCCATAGGAGCAATCGCGATCAGCTTCTCCCCGAATACGTAGCATCGTTTCTATGTGCAGCTCTCAAAATCGACGTTGCGACGCTCTCTGCTTGCTGGACCATCCTACTCCCCAAATTAGATAGCTTGGGAGAGGCTGTTGACTATCATCGAGCTGCCGACAATCTCTTTCGTACGCATGGGCCAGAGTACAAGATCGGTTAGTTATCTTTCTTTATGGCTTCATTTCCACCTCTTCTTAGACGACGTTGTAGGTGCCGAATGTTTTTATCCGCCATACGTTCAATGCCCTCGGGACGGCTGCCAAAGAGCACTCGGGGAACCTATACCCGTCGCATGCAGACTCTACACTCTACAACGGGGGGTTTTGCCTGTTACGTCCACATCATTGTATTGTCGTGGTAAGCGATCCGCCATCGTGCTTTCCCACTGCCCACCGACCTCCTTTTTTCGTAGGTTGCAACACACGGTATCATCCCAATTGGAGCGTCACGGACTCCGCGAAGGGATCTGCTCTCCGTCAATACTATCCAGGCATTCCGCAATATCTCCATGTCCGGGAAACCATCTACTTTGATCGTGACTTTTGTCTTTTCATCGAGAATGAGATGGCCCTCTCTCAGTACGTACCTTCATATGCCGAAGATATCATGTTCTTATGTGGTCATGCAGAGTGTCGGCCAATAATATCGCTACCGTTTATAATTATGCAATTGCGCCCGCCGGATCACCCAGTCGTATTCGATCACACCTTTCCGACCTTCTTAGCTACAAAGCCGTTCTCGACGCCTTCTTTCTACATGCCCTCCTCCGCGATCATTCTCGGCGTGACGTCGTACTCTATCTTCCCCACGGAGGTCCCCAGGAGACTCGTTACGATGCCGCACTCCGTGTTCGTAACGACAGAATCCGACGAGATGGACAAGAGATGTGGGACCACGCCTGTGACGACTGCTGCAAATTTCTCGATCGACCGGACGGTACTAAAGGTAGTTTCTCGCGTTTCTTGAATACCGATGGCCGCTAATATCTATCCACCCTTTTCGATAGTGTTCATTACCGCTGGTGTCACTGATGGCGTGACTGTGGGACATCCGTGCTGCTCTGTGCTTAACTGCCAGCAACGGCTTTCAGGCGCTCGAGATCGCTTCTGTCCCTCCCACCAAGACAGGATGGGTATATGCGCTGTAGAAGGATGCATACGCCCGGCCACCCTTTCCCATGCCACATGCACAGATCCTTCCCATCGTGCGTGGGAACGAAACAAGCGTCGCAACAGGCGCCGGGGCAATGCTTTCCAACTGCTCTCCAAAAAACTCAGGGATGCCGGGCAGGGAGCCTATGAACCTCCTTCTCTTCCTCCCGAGCCCGAGGAGCCACCCACATCCACCGCTTCATTGGGCCACTCCGATGTATCGCCACCACCTCCTGGAGCAGCGAAAGACAAACGCTCCAAACCCGATGACGAGAGCCCCATCAACGTCGAGGAGTATAAGGGAAGGATATATCGCCGCTGGACGCATAACGAGCAGCTGTTCGTGTCTTGCTGCGGGGTAATAAAGTCACGAGCGACGTTTTTCGGCTCTGAAGGTGTGATAGGTGTTATAGTGCGTGTTTTGCCGTTTTTTGCTCTACACAATTCTCATGTCGCTCTCGGCTCAGCTGTGGCTCAAGCACGTCTTCGACACCGAAAGATATCCTGGATGCCTGCCTTGCTATATTTTCTACGATAACAATTGCAATCTCGTGGCCGCGCTTGACGCTGCCCAAGACGGTTACTTTGATAATGTCGGCCTGCCTGTTGACGTCTTTCATGCCATACACAAGCACAACGAGGAGGACCACTTCTGTCAACGGCACTGCAATCCTGCCAGCTATCCAGACCTCGTGACCACGGACGGGGAATGGTTGTTTAACTCTTCTGTAGCGGAGCAGGTCAACAGATGGTTTGGGGGTTTTCAACGGTTGGTCCGCGAGATGACTACTGAACGGTAATTGCTTGCTTCGTTACATGACCGCACACCCCCACTGACCGTGCAACATGTACAGGTATCATTTCTACTTGGATGAGGTTATCACCATCAGGAACAGGGTGTTGGTCGAATCCTTGTACAAGCGGGGGAAACATCCTCATAGGATACCCGCTAGCACACTCGCAAAACATCCTGTTCGTGCATTTTCATGAGATCACCTTTCCCGCCCAGATCTTTGTTTGCCTTCTCGTGGACCTTCCCGTTACAGTTTGAGCAGACCAACCATCGGTTCGTCGACTTTCCTCTCGTGCCCGCGCTGTCACCGCGCGTCCAATTGGCGTTTAACGCTTTGTCGAACGCCCGTGCAATCTCCTCGCCGACTGGCGCTTAACGCGTTTTTCCTCTCTACCTAGTCCTTCTACTCCCTCGTCGTCGAGCCCGGCTCCGATATATATCGACCTACTCCCCGTCGTCTTACTCCCTTTGAAGCCCGGATCCCTCATTATTCAGCTCTCCTTCCGGCTCGCTCTGTGTCTAATGAGGACTCTTTAGTCCCAGACATTTAGGCCTCATCCAGGTTTATTCAACTGCCAATCACATTGATGCATCCTCCTTGTTGTCGACTCCACGCACTCCCCGTCCCTCCCTTCATTGACACAAATCCCGCACCTTCATATGGACTGCGGTTTCTCATTCTAACACCCGACCCCTCACTAGGAACCCCTCGCTACCACCACTCGAGGCCAATATCCGTCCCGTACCCCCTCATTTACTCGCACGAAGCGTTCATTACACCTCGTCCCATTCTTTATTTTCCTCGTCATTATTTCCCTCTTCCAATATGTCATTCTCATTCGCCATCACTCCTGCAATGTCACCTCGCATCACCCGCCAAGTCGTTGTTGCACGATGATCTTATTTGTCTACCCAGTCATTCTTCTCCTGCTTCAGTCTACAGGGGGGATAAGCCGGTAGGACGCATGGTCTCAAGAGGCGCGAAGGAGGGAGCGAGTCTCTCGGAGGGACTTCGG